GAACTGCTGCGATGAAGGCGCTTCTCAACAGTTCGGCGTCTCTAGGATCAACTTTTGGACCTTTTAGTTTGGGCTGTGAAAGTTTCACATGCAGCGGTTTATCTATGGAGAGACCTTTAAAACCTAACCAGGAGCGTTTAAGGGTGGGAGCTTCGATGAGAACATCATTGGCAAGCTTGGAAAACCCCATGTCGACAACAAGGCCGAGACGTCTGAGCAAACCTTTGGCGGTTAGTCGGGTACAGCTAAGGGGTTTGAATTTATGCGGTTATAGAAGGCTGCATAAATGCTTACGTATGCTTTCTAAAGTGTCAGACATAGAGAACTGTCTCCAGAAAATAACTCGCTTGGCACATTGTTCGCTATCCTTTAGTTTCTTAGCTGCATCCAGAATTTCTCGCTGCGAAAGCTTAAGAGCCGTGTCCACAGCGCAAGTTGTTGGGACTGACGTCAGGAGCAAAGTATGTAAGTTAGCCAGCTGGTCGCCAAATATACTCAGCCTCGCTATAAGGACTTTTATTTCTGAGGCTTGCTCGTGCATAAGTCTACTACATAAGCCACTACATCACTCCCCTGCTCCCATCACAGCACTGTCCTCAGTGCGGTCGCGACACCACCCCCAGCTGGTACCTCGCATTCCTCTGCCACCACTGACCCCTCATGGGCTTTATGCTGCTCTGCAGTCCTATCGGGCTTAAGACGATTGATATGTACTACAAAAGCTCGTTTTTCTGGTCTCTTTGTTGAGAGGATGTAACAAGTGCAGTCTGAAACAATATATTGTACCTCGTAGGGTCCGCCCATTCCCGGAAGAATTTCGCTGGCATTCCTGGCGTCGGTGTTTCCATCCGTAGCCAAAAACAGTCTCCTGGTCTTACTGGTGTTCCGAACGCCTTCCGGTCATAGTATTCTTTTTGTTGTCTCGTCTTGGTCTGCAGGTGTTGTCTCGCTATTCGGAAGTCCTAATGGATGGTTTTCTGCAGTTGAACCATTTAGTCTTTTGTTGTGAGACCGTCGTTCGGTAGACCTGGGTTCTCTACGTCGATAGGAAGTCTCAGTTCTCTCCCCGTTGCCATGAAATGCGGTGTCTTGTCCTTTGATGTATGCACACTAGCACGATACGCCATCAAACACTGAGGTATAACTACGTCCCACCTTCTAGTTTGGTCTGTCTCCACGAACGCCTTGAGAAGGTTTTTGAGGGTGCGGTTGACTCTTTCGACTACGCCATTTCCTTGAAGGTGGTAAGCTGTAGTCCGAGATTTATCCCCATGGCTTGACACATCTCTCTAAGTAGAAGTCCTTCGAAGTTGGAGCCACGGTACTCCCCATCGAGATATCCAGAATTCGAAGATAGCCTTTGCTGTAGTACGGACATCGATTCTGGGAATAGGCACCACCTCGCACCACTTCATGAAGTGGTCTATCATGACCAGAATGTACCGATTTTCTACTGGGCGTTTCTGGTAACGGACCAATTGCATCTACTGCCACAATCTCGTTGGGATATTTCGTCAGAAGGGTCTGCAACGGTGCCTAATTCTGCTGCTTAGGGCCTTTACATCGAGCGCACAGCTCACAGGACGAACAGACGTTCCGAACATCACGCCGTTGGTGGGGCCACTAATATCGATGTCTCGCGGCCTGTTCCAGCTTAGTTTGTCCTACGTGTCCTACGTGTGTGGAGGTGTTGTAGTAAATGGAACACTTTAGTTTCTGGGACCACTTCGGTACGGCTGTGTGTAGGCCCGACCTGCAGATACATCGTTCCCTCGTCGAACACAATCTTATCCCATAGGGACCAAAGGCGACGAGCTTCCCAGCTGCTCCCCACCATCTGTTCTGGATGAGGTCGCTCTATACCGATATCGAGATGTTTGTATAGTACAGTTAGATCCAGGTCTGTTTTCTGGACGGCTCCCCAATGTTCGCCTAAGTCTTGTAGAAAAACTGCTTGGACCGCGTCGGGCCGGCAAGTTGAGCAGTCATCATGAAATCGCGACGGTCGCCTCGATAACGTATCCGCGTTTTCGTGTTTCGCTCCCGGCCGGTGTTGACAATCGAATTGATACTCCTGCAAGGCCTCTTGCCACCTTGCTACTTAGCCTTCTGAATCTTTAAAATTTTGCAACCATTGCAGTGACGAGTTGTCCTAACCAGGAACTTTCGCCCCAGCAAAAAGTGAAAAAAGTGCCGTAAAAAATGAACAACCGCCAAAATCTCCTTACGCGTGGTACTGTAATTACGCTCACTCTTATTTAGCGTTGGACTACCGTAAGCGACAACTCTTTCGGTTTTATCTGGCGATATTTGTGACAAGATTGCTCCAATACCAACATCACTGGCGTCTGTATCTAACACGAATTGACCTGCCGCCGAACTGGTATCTGGGAGTGCAAGGATTGGGGCTGAACATAGATATTCTTTTAGTCGAGCAATTACCTTTGAGCGATCGTCATTCCAAAGGAACTTCTGCCCTTTCTTTAATAGTTCGGTCATGGGGGCACTAATCGTAGAGAACTGAGGAACAAATCTTCGGTAGTAGGCTGCCAGCCCGAGAAAACCTCCTCCAAGTTAGTTGGTATTGGCCACTGCTGCACATGTTCGACCTTGCCGGGGTCGCTACGTACTCCTTGTGGCGAGATGACGTGTCCTAAATGTTTCACCTCCTGTTTGAGAAATACGCATTTCTTGGGGTTGAGTCGTAACCCTACCTTCCGTAGGCTCCCGAAAACGTCCCTTAAATGTCTTAGGTGGTCTTCTATCGAGCCACCGGTGATAACGATATCGTCTAAGTAAAATACACATTCCCCTGGTGACAGACTGATTAAGACTATCTGCATAAGTCTTTGGAACGTCGCGGGTGCGTTTGGTAATCCAAAGAACCTGGTATTATAGACCAGCAGGGATCGCAAACGCCGTCTTTTCCTGATCTTTGGGGTCCACCTCGACCTGCTAATACCCCGATGCAAGATCCAAAGTAGAAAA